GGTTCAACGTTTTTGATTTTCTCCACTGACGCACCTGAATCGTTACGTTTTCTCACAAGTTCTGTGCAAAATATTTAAACTGAACAAATCTGGTGTCTGACTGAACGCCTTCAGAGATTTCATTCATTTATCTTTAAAAGCTTTACGTGTTCGTGGATTTCCTCACGTGAAGTTTTTACGTCCTTCAACGTGTCAGAGGTGAGCTGAGGTTTATTCCTCTTTTAAAAACATTTATGTTTACAGTTGTTTGTTTGCTGCATGACTTCCTGTTTCATTTCTCCAAACTTCTTGTTTACTCCATGTTTTGACCATTTGGAGACTGATGATCATGTGAACGCCTCTGTTAGCAAAATATCTCATGATGATGTAGAAGTGACTATAGCTTTGGAGTGGATGCATTTCAAGATGGCTGCCGCAGCAGCTGACGTCAGCGAACACTGAAAACATCTAAAACTGTCATTTCTACAGATACTGAGTGGAATCTGGAGTGATTTTATTTTACAGATCTTATTGTTCCATATTTTCCTAACAGAGCACTTCGCTCTCAGACTGCAGGTTTACTTGTGGTTCCTAGAGTTTCCAGCAGCAGAATGGGAGGAAGATCTTCCAGTTCTCAGGCTCCTCTCTTGTGGAACCAACTTCCAGTTTCTGTCCATGAGGCTGACACATTGTCCAGTTTAAGACTTTCCTTTTTGATAAATCCTATAGTTAGGGTTGGCTTGTCATGCTGCTATAGACTTAGACTACTAGAGGACAAACTGACCTCATTTCCTTAAATGAATTGTTAAAACTGAATAGTTTTCATTTGATACTATTTCTATCTTAACATGTGATTCTTGACCTGCCATTGTGTATCTATTCCTACCAAACCCAGCCGGTCGAAGCAGATGGTCCTCTAGTCCTGATCCTGGTTCTGCTAAAGGTTTCTTCCTCATGAGGGAGTTTTTCTTTCCACTGTCGCCTTCATGCTTGTTCAAGATGAGAGTTCAGTGATGGAGTTAAACTCAAAGCTGCTCCTCAGATAAATAATGTTCAATTATTATTTTATACATGAATGTTTCTGTTAAATTATTATTTTATAGATGAATGTTTGTGTTAAATTAATATTTTATAGATGAATGTTTGTGTTAAATTATTATTTTATAGATGAATGTTTGTGTTAAATTA